GTGCAAAAGCTAAAAAGTGTATTGATTTAGTGGAAACTTTGGATTCAGCGAATAACAGATCATGTAATATTATAAAGGAAGAGGGTTTCATGATTGTGGACAAAATGTCTCAAGAACTATGTGAAACTGGAGAGAGAATATCTCAGTTCATAGAACAGGTCGACCGCTTAGAGTGCCAGGCTAAGGAGCTGGTGTCTGAAAATTTCTTTCTTAGGGCTGAGTTACTCAGGAAGGATGATGTTCTTAATGGCTTGTTATTCGATCTGAGTTTGTTGCAGGAATCTGCATCTAATAATAAGGATCACCAAGATGAAATTGCGGAAATGGAATCTTCTTTGGAGGCTTTAGAGGATGAGCTTTCAGCAAAATCATGTGAGCTTGAAGAGACCATGGCTAATAGCCAAATGCTTGAAACTCAATTGCAGGAGAAAAGAGATATAATTTCCGCTCTTGAGCAGGGTTTATTGGAAGAGCGTGAGTCTCTAAAATTTCTGTCCCATGAAAACCTGGAGCTGAGAGCTCAAATTGAAGATGCTTTGGCCACGAGAACTTCTGTTGAGAAGGAGTTGACAGAGAAACAGAAGATTACTGAGAGCTTGAAAATGGAAGTCCTTGAAATGAGTAATGCTCTTGACCAAATGAATGACTCGAATGAATCCTTGAGGGACAATTTGAATGAACTCGCTAATGAAAAGGATCTTCTTCACACTGAGATGCTTCTGTTGAAGGAAAAGTTTGAACGAGAACTGGCACGAGCTGATGAAATTGAAGCAATTGCTAATGAAGCACAACAGGTATATGCTTGTTTTGCACAAACATTTTAAGTACTCTTTTTTTTTTCTTTAAATCTATTTTACATCTCATTCTACTATGCTTCACTAAATTTCAGATAGCTGAATTAAGAAAAATCTATGCTGATGACAAAGAGGCAGAGGTGAAGCTGTTAGAGAGGTCCGTTGAGGAGCTTGAACGTACTGTAGATGTGCTGGAAAATAAGGTAATAATTGGATTGCGAATCTTGTTGGAGTTTTGTATCTGATTTATCTTATCAACATGTCTTTTGGATTCCTTCGTAGGTTGATATTGTTAAGGGAGAGGCTGAAAGACAACGATTGTATGGGGAAGAGCCTGAATTGGAACTTCATGCTGTAAAACACCAGATGCAGTATGTTGAAAATGCTAATGCTGACATGAAAAGGTATAGAGCAGATCCTCTCATAATTTTCTTCAAATGCACAAACACACTCAACTGTTTTGATAAATATACATTAAATCATGAACTTTAATTTTCTTTTTAAAACAGATATTTAGGTGAGAAAGAGAAAGCCCTTCAAGAAGCCCAACACAATATACAAATACTTGAGAAGGAACTAGCTGAGAAGGATGCAGAGGTATGTTGACCTGTACGACAGTTAATTCCAACTCCAATCTGAGGTTGCCTTGTTGAACAGCGGTTTTTTTCTTATGAATCGAGTGAGGATCAAGTCACATTTGTTGTGATATAGTTTTGGAGTATCATTGTTTTGTTTTTTCCTGACAGATTGCCCAATTTAAAGCACATATCTCTGAGCTGAATTTGCATGCAGAAGCACAGGCTTGTGAGTACAAACAGAAGGTATCCTAAAAGATTAAATTTCATTGTCTAGTGTAAAAAGATTGCCAGTTTACATGCGACTTGACATATTTTTTGTTTTCTGCTTATATTTGTTTCAAATATGCAATTTCATAATTATTCAATTTTGTACTATAAAATGTGGAAACAGTTTAAAGTATTGGAATCTATGGCTGAACAAGTCAGACCTGAAAGCCATTCAACTCATGCCACAAGTTCTTCATCAAACAAGTCAGAGAAACATGCTGCAAAGCCTAGAGGCTCTGGTTCCCCATTTAAATGCATTGGTTTGGGCATGGCACAGCAGATAAAATCTGAGAAGGATGAGGATCTTACAGCTGCAAGGGTGCGCATTGAAGAGCTTGAATCCTTAGCGTTCAGTCGACAAAAAGAGGTAGGCCTTTAATGTTCTACTTGGTTCCTACAAGATGTTATACGCATTCTTCTACCACAAAATGATTCTGTTTGTCCTTTTTCGTGTGGTGCAGATATTTGCTTTGAATGCTAGATTAGCTGCTGCTGAAAGCATGACACATGATGTGATTCGGGACTTACTGGGAGTCAAATTGGATATGACTAGTTACGTGGTATGTTACATAGTTCCAAGCTCTTATCCTAGCCAATAATGTCATTACTATTGTATTGCTCACAATATAACAAAGAGTTATATTACTGTTCCTCTAAAAGGATATGCGTTCGATGTTCATACATGATACTGCCAGTACCGAGAAAACAGAATGAGAAAAGGAAAAATGCATCCGAATCGTCAATTGCCACTGGGATTTTATGTAAACTGCTATGATGATCAACTCACCTTTATCTTTTTTGTTAATGCTAGTCACTATTGGATAATCAACAAGTGCAGAAAATAACGGAGAAGGCTCGGCTTCATAGTGTGGAATCTCAAGAAAAGGTATTCAGCTTTGATTATACCGATGCTCGGATAGATAATTTTGTTTTGTGTTTTCTTATATTTGGTTTTGGTCTTTCATTCAGGAGCAAGAGGTAGCTAAGCTGAAAAAACAGCTGAGTGAATTCATTCAGGAAAGACAAGGGTGAGCAACTATTACCTCAAAACTTCTGAATCGAGTTAGTGATTGTTCTATCATTCATATATTTAAGTTTCTGCATGCTGATATTCCAGGTGGCTTGAGGAAATTGACCGAAAACAGGCTGAACTCATAGCTGTGCAAATTGCTTTGGAAAAACTTAAGCAGCGAGATCAGTTAATTAAAACCGAAAATGAAATGCTGAAGGTTGAGACTGCGTTTTTGATATATTATTTCTTGAAGTGAATGTTCATCCTTTTTATTGTTTCGCTTACTACATTTACTGTGTAGGCGGAGAATGTAAATCATAAAACGAGGGTGATGGAACTTGAAGGAGAAGTAGATAAGCTGTCGGGTCAGCAAAACCTCCACCAGCGGATTCATCATCATGCAAAAATCAAGGCAAGATATTACCAATATTCTTGCTAACGAAGTCTTGCTAACCTCTGCTTCTGTATTACCTTACCTATCATTCTTTTCCATTTCAATCTGAGTGGGTTTTGTTATAATGTAACAGGAAGAAAATCATAAGTTAAAAGTACAAAATGAAGAACTTAGCAATAAGCTCCGTAGGACAGAAGTTATTCTTTCACGTGTCAAGGAAGAGCTTGCTTGCTTTCGTGCTTCCTGTGGGAAGAACCCTTATGTCGATTTTGATGAGGAGCAACGATTGGGTGCAAAACTAAAGGTTAGTGTTGTCATTTGTGAGAGAGAGAGAGAGAGAGAGAGGTGCCATCAAACCCATAGTTTGATGCTTAACTATACAAGTGCTTCCTCTACAGGAAACTGAGGGGGAGAAGTTGCAACTAGCACAGAAATTGTTAGGCCTCTGTAGTAGCGTTCTGAAGGTATGTTAACAGTCATTTGGCACTTAATAACCATTCACTCTTGTAAAATAAAAAAATCAATCCAGGACCCGGACTTATATCTTCTTTTGGAATAACTCTCAGGCTGCTGGAATAACAAAACAATCGACACATATAAACCCGTCTGCTGCTGAAGAGGCGCTCGAGCAAATCAAGAACAAGATTACTTCAATGGACAGAGAATTACAGGATTTGAAGTTTAAGGTAAATAAAACTTTATCTTTAAGCTTGTTTTTCGTATTGCTCCCGAGTTCCCAGTGTTTTGTATACACAAGAAAGACATACATAACCTGCATGCATGATCCCAATATTTTGTTTTCCACAGAACAAAATAAGCAGTGAAAGAATTCGATTGTCGGAGCTCATGCCACAAACTTCACCATTAAGCTCAAGGAAGGATGGGAATTCTCAAACCCCGAAAAGAACGTCCCAACAAGCTCCGTACTTTTCTGCTTTAGATCGATGACTTTGTTCTTCATGTAAAGAATCAGAGTCTGGTTAGCTTTCTGCTAACAATTCTATGACTACAAAATTGCTGTACATTGTTCTTTTGTGTTTGTAAATAAAGCTGCTGTGAACATATGAGTTAATATATTGGATAATTTGTTCATGTACTTCACAGTCAACAATCAACATATATATTGGATTAAGATTTTACACGTGTTATCATATCGGTGAATTTGATACATTAAGTTGATATTACAAAAATCAAATTTTCATCTTTTGCAACCACTCGAGTCGTGAGATTGACGATGTTTTGCGTTAAGATTAAGATAGGTTAAGCGTTCGATTCTCTTTACTTTAAACAAAAGACCAAACCTATAGCGAAAACCAATAAAAATATAGGAGAGAAATTAAGTCACATTTAGCTTTTGACTTCACTTTAAATCAAGCTTTTTAAGTGGGTTGAAGTCACAAGAAATTAGTATATCAAATCGATTCTTCCCTCCCATCTCATCTCCTCCTTGTTGCATAATGCATGTAAGAGTTGTCTGAGACCTTCAAAATAGCTGTCAAGTTTTGCTACGGTGTGAAGATGGACCTGAGAAGTCAACCATGTTGGCGTGCAAAAGGAGGGTAAATCTTGGTATAGGCATGAGTGGAGAAGATGAAGGATCAAAAGCAATGAAGAAACTAAAATGAATCTCAGTAAATATGTGACACAACTTCAAACCGTTAGATTTCTTTGAAGGTTGACTTACCAAATTTTTTTCTTTCAATGGCCTAGCCTACTTTGTAGTAATGGTAGGTTTGGTATGGTTACCGTACCAAAAATCCCGTACCTATTACTGTACCAAATTTTTGGTTTATCATGCCAAATTTTCGGTATACTAAAATCTGGTATGCCAAATAATTCGGTTGACATGATATGGTAATCACAATTGCCACTTTGTTAAACATGTATATATATATATTTATAGCACATTAAACATAGTTATGGTAAGATGACAATTCGGTTGACACAATAATTTGATAGTAAAATCCACCCTAGGTGGGAGAAATGATCGGTCATCGTTGAATTAGGAAAATACTCATGACTTAGGTGAAATGAGTATATGAAATTTGATAAATATAAAAACTAATATCAGAATAACGCTCGAAGAAAAACCCGTTTTGGTAGAATTTGGCATTCGTCTGAGCATCTAATCCTTCAAGGCCGCTGCGTTGTAGCAAGTTTCCGACAGAAGAATGAACTCTGCGACTTTCAGCTCCACTTTTCTCCGAACCGGCTGCCTCCGCAAGGTCTCTAATCCTCAACCTATTAGCAATTTGTTTGTCCTCAGAAATGCGGTAAAAGAAAAAACCAGTTAAACCCCTGCATGGTAAAATTTCAGTGAATTAGAAACTTTGGTTTGTTGGGTTGAGTGTACGATAGTTAAACCCTTTAAAATTTCATTGAATTAGAAACTTTGATTTGTTGGTTTGAGTGTTTTTCATCGTACAAGACTACAAGTTGAAGTTTATCGATGAAGTTTTGAAATTGCAGGAATTGCAGGACGGGGTGAACAATTTGAAGGCCGATACGCGCAATGCAGGGAAGGTGTTTGTTAAATGTTACGTGAAAACGAAAACCCAGAAAGCAGAAAAGGAAGTTCGGCTTGGTGTTCTTGGAGCCAGTGGTTACACTGGTTCTGAGGTATAAACCCTTTTTTAAGGGTGATTAGCTATAATAAACATATTTTGACGTTTTTGAGCAGAAATGATCTGTCGTCCTTGTATCATTGTTGTGTTGCCGTTATGCCATCGTTTTGTGGTAGATATATCGTTATTGAAAAATGATCTGCAAACCAAATGTCAAAATATGTTTATTGCTTCTAATTGGCCCTTTTTAAATCATTTCTTCCTTCTTTTTTTAATATATTGTTAACTATGTATGAGAATTGAATTGGGTAAGATAATGAGATTCTTTTTAAACTGCCTTGTAATGAACTGAGATTATCTTTCTTTTGGAAGATTGTTCGGCTTTTGGCAAACCATCCTCACTTTGGCATTACCTTGATGACGGCTGATAGAAAAGCTGGACAGTCAATAGGGTCGGTGTTCCCGCATCTAGTTTCCCAAGTAAGTTTTGCTTATGATTAATGTGTTTTCTCTTAGGGCAAAGACTTGGATTAAGATATGATGAGGGTTGGGGTAATTCATTAGTAGTTGTCATTGTCTTTCTCCTTATATCCTCGTAAACCTATGCTTCATATGACATCTAACTTGTTAGTTTTATATGTTGTAATGGTAAATTAATGGAGTTTCAATCGTTTGATGGTGTTACATTTTATCATGGCATAATATTTAACGCTTCAGAATTACATTGGTGGACTTTTATTTGTGTTTGCAGGATCTACCAAAAATGGTTGCTATAAAGGATGCTGATTTTTCTGATGTGGATGCTGTTTTTTGTTGTTTGCCACATGGAACCACACAGGTTGTTTCTTCTTTCCTCTATAGTTGTCAATCCTTTCTCATTTTACTGCATCTGCTCCTCAATTTCTAACATGCACATGTTTAATGTTTCAATTGCAGGAAATTATCAAAGGCCTTCCCAAGAGTTTAAAGATTGTTGATCTGTCTGCTGTATGCATAGGATGACTTACAGTACTTTTGGAATTTGTTGGTGGCATTCTACTGTATATTTAGCTTCCAAACTTTCTCATTTTAATGTTTACGTGATGGTATTTTCAGGACTTCCGTCTACGAGACATATCTGAGTATGAAGAATGGTATGGTCAGGCACATAGAGCACCAGAGTTGCAGGTAGGATAGTCTCCTTTTCATATCAAAACTTATATGGAATTACTAAGTCCACCAACCCATACTCTAGGAATAAATTGAAACCTCAACTTTTGATAAAAAAAATATTGGCATGATTAATTTGTTGTCATAAAGTTCATTTTGGTTTCGTAGAAAATGTATATACGAATAAAACTCAGGCACCATCTTGCTCTTATTTCTTGAACTTTTTGCTCTGCTAATTGTAAAAAGTGTTTATCTTCTTGGTTTCAGAAAGAAGTTGTATATGGTTTGACAGAGATTTTGAGGGAGGAGATAAAAGGTGCACGCGTAGTTGCGAACCCTGGTTGTTATCCAACTTCTGTTCAACTTCCACTTGTTCCATTGATCAAGGTGTGTGTCTTATATATAAGTTCTCAGAACACTCCCTGTTTGAGATGTAAGAATGTGGCTGAAATACAAACCTATATACAGACAGGAGAGCACTGTCACTCATTGATAATCTTTAGAGGCAATACCAAATGCTATGTCTTGACTCTACACTCTAGAAACCATAAGCAAGTATGCCTTATGGCTCTCGTATTTCATTTTCCTTGCAGGCCAATCTCATTGAACCTAAAAATATTATCATTGACTCGAAATCTGGTGTTAGCGGAGCAGGTTAGGATTGGATTGCAATTTGTAACATTTCCATGCAAAATTTTACTCGATATACTCTTAGTGCTCCATTGTTGACTTCTACAACCTGTTAATCATCCAGGACGTGGTGCCAAGGAGGCAAACTTGTACACTGAAATAGCCGAGGGCATATATTCTTATGGTGTTACTCGTCACCGTCATGGTAAGATTTTGAATTTTAAAAAATTTATATTTTAACTTCTTTGGTCGCACTTGGTGCGATGGCAAGTGCCTTCGCCCATGAGCGGTAGGTCTCGGGTTCGAGACTTGGGAGCAGCCTCTCCATAAATGGGGGTAAGGCTAGCCGACATTCACCTCTCCCAAACCCTGCGTAAAGCGGGAGCCTTGTGCACTGGGTACGACCTTTTTTTTTAACTTCTTTGACAGAAAAAACAATCACTAGATATTCTTGGTACTTACATGAAATTATTTATTTGTGGAAGGATTCTCATGAATTTATGAAGAGCTAGAAACTTTAAACACTAAAGATCATGTGTGTTTTTTATGTAATTGCATAAGGTAGTGACCCAGATCATTTTTGAAATTCAGTTCCGGAAATTGAGCAGGGACTATCTAATGCTGCAAATTCAAAAGTAACCGTTAGTTTTACTCCACACCTAATGCCAATGGTAACTACTACACTCATATGCACTTAGAGAATCCATATTTTCCAATTCATTCTTTGCTAATAAAGGACTAAGCACTATTGTATTTTGTCGTTAGAGTCGTGGTATGCAATCAACTATCTATGTGGAACTGGCTGCAGGGGTAAATTTCAAGGACTTAAACCAACAGCTGAAGTTATCCTATGAGGTATACTAGTTAATTTTTTTCGTCTGCTGGTTGGGTACTTATCTGATCGGTCTCTGATGATCAGGGTGAATTAATTAAAGTCACTGCATTGAGCTCTAAATGCAGGCACTCTATCAGAAAGTTTTTTTTATCCACCACTTGCAGTAGTCTGGTTTAATAATTAAAAGTAATTGATATTCCTGTCAAGCAAGAACTTTCCTTCCATAAATTCGCACAAGAGATCTTAGATAACAATAACCTGAATTAGTTAGCAGTTATTTGCATTAGTAGCTAGACTATCATGGCTTAACTATCTGCAGGAGTTATGTTACCTGGTTACTAGGATTGATGGTTGAATTACTTTTTCCTTTGGCTGAAACACTCTTGTGTAAACAGCCAATGCCAAACCACAGAATATTGAGTGTGAGACTCCTAGTTGTACTTATCTGATTAATAGCACATAAGTCATATATATCCTTTGGCCCTTAATCTCCTTGCAGTGCAGCGGTAGCAGTAGGAAGCACTTTATTCTTGTGTTCATATTGCTTAGATGCCTGTATCATATATGTTTTTCTCTACTCGTATTGGTGTGATGGATGAAAGTATTGGTTATTCTTTTCTAACTTTTTTCCTTTTTCAGGATGAAGAATTTGTAGTTGTATTGGAGGAAGGAGCTGTTCCTCATACTCATAACACTCGAGGATCTAACTATTGTTTCATCAATGTCTTTCCTGATCGAATTCCTGGGAGAGCAATAATCATTTCTGTTGTATGTTTTATGTTCTCCATCCTTGCGTTTGTGACAATTTAGGCTTCCAAGTTCCATGTGAGTCTGAGCGTATTTTATTATCAGCTGACAGTCAAGCTTTTGAATTGTTGGTGCAGATTGATAATCTTGTCAAGGGAGCTTCAGGCCAAGCCTTACAGAATCTTAATCTGATGATGGGATTTCCAGAAAACACAGGGCTTCTTTATCAACCCTTGTTTCCTTAGCATATAAGTTCATCTCACATGAGTAAGCAGACGAGTCTAAACTACGACTTCCTTTTTGGCTAGGTAAACTCAATTTTATCATCTCGGTATTTTAGCTCTTGTCCATTGTTTACTGCCATCCCTCCATTTTGGCTTCTCGCTTGCTCCTTCATGACATCTTGTATAATACCATAACAACGTCGGGCAGGCTCTGTCGTTCATCGTTCATTGTCAGAGTCCCAAAAAATATATAGTGCTATTGAGAATATCTCGACTTTCATTTCCTCATTCATATTCATATAACCTGAGATGGAATGTTTTTCTGTTTTTTATTTTTTATTTTTTTGGTACTTCTATGATTGTATCTGGGCTTCTACATTACCTTGGCTGATAAGTTGCAGCCCATTGATTATTGCAGGTAGTTAAAGTGTTGAAAAAGTTGTTTGCAAGAGCTGCATGACTATTTCTAGGACTTTACTTTGGTTACACAAGTTTAGAGTTACCTTTTGACCTCCAATATTTGCAGATTTTAATTCCAAATTGTAATTTTGCGGATAGAGTTTTTTAATGCTGATTTTAATTTCCGGTTTAATTAAATAAGTGAGGGTAACTATGATTACTGTGTCAACTTGGAGTTGTAGAGCAGGGATATTTTCTAGAGTATCCTATACTCCGGAGACGAATTATAGGCCTGAATGACATGTTTTGGGTATGATTCTTGCCCTTGGTGAATCGCACAACGGTGGTTGGGGAGGTTGGAATGCTTTTGTAAGTCTTTCTGGCCTTCGAAAAGATGGACTGCCGTGGTGAAACCACAGTTGGTCCCCATTTTATTAGAGAATAACATTGTTTTCTCCTGCTGTAGCCCTGGTGGGATTGTGAAATATATATGAGCTCGTTTGGATGTGATTTTAAAATGATCGAAAGCGCTCTTGGTAAAAATATTTTTAGAACTAATCATGAGTAAAAATGCAAGTAAATCCTGGAAAAACATTTAAAGTGCTTCCTGGAAGAAGTATTAATTGATGCTTCTTGTAGAAAACATTTCAAGTACTTTTGGAATTCAAAAACATTTTTTCTAAAAGCATTTTCAGTTATTTTAAAAGCACATCTAAACAAACTTTATGTTAGGCTTATTTATCTAAACACCTTATGTGCTTTTACCGTCACACTTTCCTTATGCTTTCATCTTCGTATCTCTGTCTCCCGTTACCTCCTTCCGTCAATTGTTAACTTGTTGCATGCGCATTTTACCAATTTCAGTAATAAAATAATGCAAATTGTTAAAAAAAAAAAAAATCTTAAAACAAAAAAGTTGTAACTTTTTTTTTTTTAATACAAGAGCCAATTGGTCCAACAATTCCAACAGACTAATCACTCTCTTCGTGCAATCTCGATATCACTTGAGATAGTACTGTACTTGTGGCCCTTGGGTCAAATAGTATGTCAAAGAAGAGTTGGCCAGAAGCCCCGTGAAATGCGTTTGTGGAAGTTTGAACTTGAGATTTTCAAGCCTCTGTTTGCTTTCCACTCCTCCAACCCTTTAGGACTAAAAAGAAAAAGTACTAAGATTTTGTAAATGTCCATTTAAAAGAAGGAAATGCTAGAAAATTCATGTTTTTGTACAACATGAGCGTATTATTTGACGTGACAAATGATAGCTAGCAAACTGGGCCCATGAAAAGCCTATTAACTTCCGACCTCAAACTCGAAGGCATATTATGGATGATGCTTAAAGCAAGTCTACCCATTTTAGGAGGCAAGGACATGACACTTGAATTGCCCTTACTATTCATGTTGAATAACTGTTGCCTTTGTGCTTTGTTGTCCTTATCTTCCACGTGTCACTATTGTCTTAGGTTTTTTTATGAAATTTTCAACTACTCTCGTCGCGCTATCCATTGATGGATTCGCTCAGATTTTTGTTAAGATTCTGAATCATTCATGCAGCTTGACGTCACCTCTCGCTAGTGAGCTTAAAGCCTGTCAATTCTTGCCTGGACCCATTGAGCTAGGTGGAGCTCACGAATTGCCTTGAATGAATTGGACCTCTAGACCTCTTTTTGCCTTGAATCGAAATATTGTGGTCTAGTATTGGTAATGAATACCATTACCACAGTATTATCGTACCAAAAAGAATATATTATATATATATATATATATATATATATATATATATATAAATTATATAATATATAATTAAATAACACAAATTTATAATATTCCAATAATTTGAAAATAAAACCCTACAGACTACTCTCTCTGTCTCTTAATTTTTCAACTGTTCTATTCTCTCTGCGCTGGACAGATACTCATCTATCTCATATTCTCAACATCCAACACTTCCCGTCGACTTGTTGTCAAACACTTCGGTTGTTTAGTCTCATCCATCGACTCCATCTATCAAGGTTAGTTTGATTTTTGGGTTTTGAATCAAGAATGCTTGCAATTTGTGTTTTGGGTTTCTGCCTTTTGTCAGCGCAGCAGTTCCACCCATCTATTTACTCTTCTTTTGGTAAAGAATCTGTATAATTTTCTAGAGTTAGATAAAAAAAAGTTTTAGAAAGCTAAATGATAAATTGGGGATTTGTAATTGATTTATTAATTAGAATTTAATTACAAATCCCCAATTTATCATTTAGGGTTTCTAAAACATTTTTTTATTATCTAACTCTAGAGAAACTATACAGATTCATGTACTAAAAGAAAATAAATATATGAGTGGAACTATTGTGCTGACAGAACGCAGCAACCTAAAACAAAAATTGCTAGCATTCTTGATTCAAAACCTAAAAATCAAACTAACCTTGATATACGGAGTCGTGGGAGAGATGAAGATGAGATGGATGAGACTGAACGACCGAAATGTTTGATAGCAAGTCGACGGGAAGTGTTCGACCCTGAGAATCTGAAATGGATGAGTGTTTGTCTACTGCAGAGATAATAGAAAGGGTGAAGAAATGAGAGGAAGGTACCAAAAAAAAAAAAAGTTTTGCCCTTGAATTGGATGTGTGAATTGTGAATGATCAATACTAAAGGACTATAGACTTCAATGTATGAGACAAAGGTACAAAAAGTAAGTTTTGCCCTTGAATTGGGCTAAAAAAAGAAGAAGAAGATTTTGGCCCAAAAATGGCCCAAATCAAGGTGACCATTACCATTACCAAATCATGCTATCCGAAATATTTAACAATACCGAATTTCAATATACCAAAAATTTGGTAAAGTACTGATAATAGATTTTGCCAAATTAAAAGTTTGGTAACGGTGGTACGAACCCATCCTAATTGGCAGCCCTTGCTTTGCCGCTAGAGCTGCTTTTACAATGTGGCGCCTGTACGAGAGGCTTTATCCTTGTTAAACCCTTCCCTCACCGAAGAGACCGTCTACAACTCACTTCTAACATCGAAGCGTTTCTTCAGTATCTTATCCTCCTCCACCAAATCATCCATGGCGTTTCGAATCAAAGAAATTATCACCTATTTATTATTTTATTGGGTAAAGTACAAAAAACTACCTCAACTATTGGTGTCACGACACTTTCATACCTCATCTTGCAACTTTGTGTCAATGTCGTACCTCCGTCAGTTTTTCTGTTAATTTTTCTATTAAGTGCTGATGTGGCTAGATAGGGGGCCACTCACTAATCCAACTGGATTAAAATATAATATTTTAATAATTAAAAATTAAAAAATTAATTTTTTTTATTAAATCTCTCTCTCCTCTCTCTCTTCTCTGCATCCCCAAAACCCTTTCCCACCCGACCCCGACCCCGACCTTGACCCCGACCCCGACCCCTTCCCACCTGTCCCCCCCCACCTTCCCCCACCACCCTCTCTTTCTTTCTCGCCTCTCACTCTTCTCTCTCTCTCTAGACACCCACCTGCATCCCCAAAACCTTCCCACCCTTCCCACCCGTCCCCCCCAACCTTCCTCCCCCTCACCATTTCTTCCCCCGCTCCCATTAATCTAAATTAGTAAATTGTTCAAACTAATCTAAATTGTATCCATTGCAGCAGCTATCAGTCTAATTGATATACCAAAATGCTATCTAACTATATCAATCAAATGGAATTAACACACAACCCACAAAACAAAAAAACAAATCCTTTTTGCAAAATAAAAAGTGGGTTGTTTATAATTTCTAATTTTCCAAATACCCTTCAATTAAAATTCAAATACAACAGGAAAAACAAAAAGGAGAAAACTTGAAGCATCCATGACTGAACAAGTTGAGAATTACCAGAATATGGAACATTACGATGATGAAGAAAGCTAGAAACGAGTGGACCCCGCCATGGAGCAGCTTGGGTCCCCAAGTGACGACAACGACAGGTGGGAAGGTTGGAAAGGTTTTGGAGATGCAGATGGGTGTCCAGAGAGAGAGAGAATAGAGAGAGGCGAGATAGAGGGGGTGGTGGAGGAAGGTGGGGGGGGACGGGTGGGAAGGGGTCGGGGTCGGGTGGGAAGGGGTTTTGGGGATGCAGAGAAGAGAGAGAGGCGAGAGAGATGGGGGAGAAAGAGAGAGAGATTTAATAAAAAAAATTAATTTTTTAATTTTTAATTATTAAAATATTATATTTTAATCCAGTTGGATTAGTGAGTGGCTCCCTATCTAGCCACGTCAGCACTTAACAGAAAAACTGATGGAGGTATGATATTGACACAACTTTGTAAGATGAGGTATGACATTATCATTTAAAAAAGATGCGGTATGAAAGTGTTGTGACACCAATAGTTGAGGTAGTTTTTTGTACTTTACCCTATTTTATTTATGTATTAATTCTACTGGAAAGTGCTTGACCATTGGAAGCAGCAATGGTGGCCCTTTATCCTTCTCCCTTGTTATCTGCTGCTTCCTCCCACCTCCATTCCTCTACTAAAATGGCGTTCAGGCCTCACCCTTTCTGTCCTTTTTCAAAAATGAAATATTCTTGATTTTAAATTTTAGGAAATGGGTTTCCAGAATTTGTATGAACCTTTTTTTTCCCTCCCCTTAGTTTGTGTGGATATGTTTGGTCAATGGGGGTAAAGAATTGTATAAACGAACTCAACTATTGGTTAAGAGCATTCAACTTTGCACACGAGGTGCAAGCGACCTAATATTGCTTGTATGGACAAACCTGCACATGAGGTCTTGAGCTTGATTCCCTGCTTCCCTAGTATCACATTTATAAAATACCCGAAGCATTTGCTCTAGCACATGAGGTCCTGAGCTTGAGTCCTTCCTCCCTTAATATCGCTTGTATAAAAAATGTTCCAGTTTGTCAGCACAAGCATGTTATGATCTAAAAGAGCATGTTTTGTGCTTGCTAATGGAATGAATTTAGAAACCTCCGAGCATGTAATGTATTAAATTTAGGGATTACTGAATATGGAAATACATTGTTTAGTCATTATCTTTCCTTAATGAATGTCGAAACTAGTTTGGTATATAGATTTTGTTAGATGGAGTTTAGTTGGATTGGGTTGAGTAGCTCTTTTGGTTAACAAGTTTCTTTTTGTTGTAGACAGGTTTGGTGCGGTGTAATGAAGTACATGCCTTAGGTGAGAGTTTTAAGGCTTATGGGCTGCGTCCAAATTCTCGGCACACTATCTCGTGTGCGATAAATATGACTACATGACAGTCGGATGACTCGGGGAAGATGAAATTTGATCAGCTGATTGAAAAAGCGAGACAAGTGTGGGAAAGTTCTCCGTAGCCTGTCAGGAGCT